GGGAGGGCGAGGCCCGCCAGGGAAACACAACGAATCTTGGAGGCCTGGGAATGGGCACCAACACCAACACAGGGGGTTGCCCTCACAGGGTGGAGGTGATCCCAGATTCCGGTGTCGGTGGTAATATTTCGGCCACCTTGGAAACCAAACTAGTACCACCATCACCGAGATCGGGATCTTCTTCCCTCGGTGGATGCACACCCCCGATATTGGTGTTGGTGTCAATCTTTAAGCCTGCGAGAATCAACGAGACCCCGCCTCGTGGCCACACCAGGCGGGGGCTGCCGCCCTCGAGCGGGAGCCCGACGCTGCGGCGGAGGAGCACGGGCATGCGAAGGAGGAGCAGAAGGACCGGACGAGGAAGGATTACGACAAGAACAAACAGGAACAAGAAGGACGAAGACGAGGACGAGGACGAGGAAGGAGGACAAGACAAGGCGAGGACGAGGACAACAGAAGACAAGACGAGGACGAGGAAGGACGAAGGACGAGGAAGGACAAGGCAAGACAAGACAAGAACAAACACGGGGATGCGAAGGAGGAGCAGAAGGACTGGACGAGGAAGGCTGACGGCAAGAGCAGACAGCGGCAGCGGAAACGGAGTGAGGGAGGCGGAGGAGCAGGAGGACGAGGGGAGGGCGGAGGAGGGGAAGGGAGAGGGGCGACAACGATGAGGCAAGGTTCGGATCCAGAAGAGTAGGCGCGTGCTGGGGCTATAGGGCGCCACTCGGAACGACGGGAGCAGAGCGCCGATCCCAAAATGAGGCCAACGCTGGAGTGGCAACACCATTTCGAGAACCGCCAACGCTCCGATGAAACAAAAACACATACTCTGGATGGGGCAATAATCGCCCCACCCCCCCTGGATCCGCTGGGGGTGTTGGTGCTGTCGGAATGGGTGGAGGGGGGGGGTTGGAGGAGGAGGAGAAGGAGGAGGGGAGGAGGGGGAGGGGAGGAGGAGGAGGAGGAGAAGGAGGAGGAGGAGGAGGAGAAGGAGGAGGTGGAGGAGGGGGGGGATGGGCAAGCTCCGTCGGAAGATTAGTCGCCCACCCCTCGATGAATATCCCACCCAGACTGGGCGAAACCACATATCATAATCTGGTGTAGAAAACCAAGAAAACGCGGATAGGGGGCGGGCCTCTCCCCGGCCGTCTTCGGGGGGAGAGAGAAGAGAGTAGTACCGAGACTGGCCAGTCGCAGTGGGCTCGGGCAGAGAGGAGGAGGGCCTGCGGTGAATTGGAGGAGCGGAAGAGAGAGAGAGAGAGAGAGAGAGAGCAAGAGAGCGAAAAAGGGAGATATACGCCTGTATGTTTGTAGATTAGGAGACTGGGTATGTACAAGTATGGAGAGTCCTGAGGGGGATGAGCTCAAAGAAAAAATATCCCGGCAAAGCAACCTAACAGCGATGTGTAGGAGCATATCTGGAAGCATTCCCCTTAATATTCAGATGAGAATCCTGTTGTAGAATTCTGCTGTTCTCGCAGTCGTAGTCGCATTCGCGATGGCAGTCGCAGTGGCAACGGCAGTCGCAGTCACAGCCTCAGCCTCAGCCTGCCTCAGCCTCAGCCTCAGCCTCAGCCTCCTCAGCCTGCCTCAGCCTCAGCCTCAGCCTGCCTCAGCCTCAGCCTCAGCCTGCTTCAGCCTCAGCCTCAGTCTGCCTTCAGCCTCGGCCTCAGCCTCAGCCTGCCTCAGCCTCAGCCTGCATCAGCATCAGCCTCAGCCTCAGCCTCAGCCTGCATCAGCATCAGCCTGCCTCAGCCTCAGCCTCAGCCTGCCTCTGCCTCAGCCTCAGCCTGCTTCAGCCTCAGCCTCAGTCTGCCGTCGGCCTCGGCCTCAGCCTCAGCCTGCCTCAGCCTCAGCCTCGGCATCAGCCTCAGCCTCAGCCTCAGCCTGCCTCAGCAGCAGCCTGCCTCAGCCTCGGCCTCAGCCTCAGCCTCTGCCAGCCTTCAGCCTCGGCCTCAGCCTCGCCTGCCTCAGCCTCAGCCTGCATCAGCCTCAGCCTCAGCCTGCCTCAGCATCAGCCTGCCTCAGCCTCAGCCTCAGCCTGCCTCAGCCTCAGCCTCAGCCTGCAGCCTGCCTGAGCCTCAGCCTCAGCCTGCTTCAGCCTCAGCCTCAGCCTTCAGCCTCGGCCTCAGCCTCAGCCTGCCTCAGCCTCAGCCTGCATCAGCCTCATCCCTCAGCCTCAGCCTCAGCCTCAGCATCAGCCTGCCTCAGCCTCAGCCTCAGCCTCAGCCTGCCTCTGCCTCAGCCTCAGCCTGCTTCAGCCTCAGCCTCAGTCTGCCTTCGGCCTCGGCCTCAGCCTCAGCCTGCCTCAGCCTCAGCCTGCATCAGCCTCAGCCTCAGCCTCAGCATCTGCCTCAGCCTCAGCCTCAGCCTGCCTCAGCCTCAGCCTCAGCCTGCCTCAGCCTCAGCCTCAGTCTGCCTTCAGCCTCGGCCTCAGCCTCCGCCTGCCTCAGCCTCAGCCTGCCTGCAGCCTCAGCCTCAGCCTCAGCCTCAGCCTGCCTCAGCATCAGCCTGCCTCAGCCTCAGCCTTAGCCTGCCTCAGCCTCAGCCTCAGCCTCCGCCTGCTTCATCCTCAGCCTCAGTCTGCCTTCAGCCTCGGCCTCATCCTCAGCGTGCCTCAGCCTTAGCCTGCATCAGCCTCAGCCTCAGCCTCAGCCTGCCTCAGCATCAGCCTGCCTCAGCCTCAGCCTCAGCCTGCCTCAGCCTCAGCCTCAGCCTGCTTCAGCCTCAGCCTCAGTCCGCCTTCAGCCTCGGCCTCAGCCTCAGCCTGCCTCAGCCTCAGCCAGCCTCAGCCTCAGCCTCAGCCTGCCTCAGCATTGAAAATGTGACCGGCCCGGGAATGGAAGTCTGGGAACTCGAAGAGCACGAAGTGGCCTACAGTTGGCTCCGGGCATTCTAAATCATGCCCAGGAATGGAATTCTGGGAACTCGAAGACCACGAAGTGGCCTACAGTTGGCTCTGGGCATTCAAAATGTGGCCCGGGAATGGAGTTCTGGGAACTCGAAGAGCACGAAGTGGCCTACAGTTGGCTCCGGGCATTCAGAATGTTGCCCGGGAATGGAGTTCTGGGAACTCGAAGAGCACGAAGTGGCCTACAGTTGGCTCCGGGCATTCAGAATGTTGCCTGGGAATGGAGTTCTGGGACCTCGAAGACCACGAAGTGCGTAACTGTTGGCTTAAAAAACAAATCCCTGGCATCCTCCCCCGGATCGCGCCCAGACCTCCCTGGGGCGTCATGATGCCCTCTTGTGACCCTACTAGAAACCTATCAGTCTTCGCTGTTAGGTAAAAGGAGGGCCAGGTGAGCGCATACTGTACGGCGAATTTGAAAAAGGCATGGCAGACCAATGGGAAGACAGAGAGAATGAGAGAGATAGACAATGAGAGAGACAGAGAGAGAGAGAGAGGTGAGAGAGGAGGAGCTGGACGAGGGGAATGGTGGGACCCTCCCATCATTCTCCGTTGTGCCTGCTGCATGTCTATTCACCGATTCGGTAGTCGGACCGGGCAGCGATGCCTGGATGCCGTCTTCAGCACTTGACCCGTCGCTCACTGGCGAGCACTGAGAAGGAACCGGACCGGGCCACGAACAGCGGACGGGGGGGTCGGGCGACGAAGGGGTGGATATAGTGCTGAAGGAGAGACTCGTGGAACGACGCCGCGCAGTGGAACTGCGCTGCGCTCGACGCATGCAACCTGGTGCTTCGGACGCAAAGCTACATGGATGTGGGAACGAGGCGGGAAAAGGACTGGCAGGAGGGCGAAGTAGACGCGGAGGGCACGAACCGCCGACGGGGGGGGGGGGGGCAAAACGGACGGGGAAGAGGTGAAGGAACTAAGAAGAGGGCAGGCCGGGGTAGCGGACCGGGCGTCTGGCCGACCCGCGGGCGGCCGGGTGCGCGGGCATGCGGCCGAGCGGGCATCCAGGGCACACCAGGCGGGGGGGGATCAAGAAGGACCAGGATTAAGTCGGGCGCGTCCCCCTACAGGCAGATTGCGGACGACAAGTATACAAAATATTCAAGGAATGCTCATAGAAGATTCCAAAATAATAGAAGAATCGTCTTCGGACTATCGGTTGACTATTTCTGACTGTTCCTCCTGTAGAGGGACAGGCCCGACTTGAAAAGACCAGGAGGGGCCCTGGAGGGGCGGAGGGCAGAGCCGGGAAAGATGGCATTTGTTCCTTTGTCGTTTTTGTCAGAGCCGGGCGGGAGGGCGGGGAGGATGACGAGAGGGGGCCCAGAGGAGATCCCAGAGGGCAGACGTCTAGAGCTACGTTGCTCCCATCGCACTTACAGGCCACATCCCAGAAATGACTTCGAGCACCCCGAAAAGGGTCGAAACAATGTCGACAGAGTGTCGAAGCAATGTCGGACGAGGAGTGTCTCCCAGGGCCCGACACGTGAAAACCCTCCAGTTTCGGCACTTTTCTGGTGCTCGAAATTCTTTCTGGTGATCAAGAGGCGATCCAGAGGATATCCAGAGGGCAGAGGTCTAGGCAGACCAGGCGTAACGGACAAACATGCAAGCAGGTAGGCAAAGACACGGATAGAACTATTCGGAGAGAGAGAGTTGCGCATCGGACGCGTTACTTGTTAGCTTACGCAAAGTGGGGGCAATGCAACATGCAAGTGAAGCCCAGGCAAATTGTCAAGACTTGTGCAAGCCCGGTTTTCGAACTGCAGAGGGGCACCAAGAGACACCGGTAACGCCATCTCGTGAGCTGCAGGTGCACTGCCCTGAGAGCGGATCTGGCAGGCAGGCGCGGTGAAGGGAAAAACGCACTACGAGAAACCACGCCGCTCCTTCCAGGGCCAACCGGAGGCCTCCCAAGTGGGGTCCGATTACATGGCGTCGGGGGATCGCGCCGCATCGGCAATGCATCGGCGACGCATCATATCGGCGACGTCGGCGATGCATCGGCGAAGTCGGGGTGGAGACAATGCGGTTCCACATCATGCGGCGCCATCCTCCGACCCCATCTCTTCTGACCCAGGAGAGCCCAAAATCGAATCGAGCAGTCGGATCGGCGATCGACATGAATCGGATCCTCGGAAAAAAAAACGGTTGCCGGGTCGGGAGAAGTCGAATCGGATGAGATCGGCAGGCCAGTAGGCCTCCATTGAGACATCGGAGCCCAAATCGAAATCCGAAGCGAAATCGAATCTGAATCGGAAGCCATCGGAATCGAAGCGAAGCGGAGGAATCGAGCAAGGAGCCCTGCGGACCTCGTCTGGCTGGGAGGCCTGGACTTCTCGCCTCGCAGGGCACCCTCCGCCCGCTCCGCTGCTGCCCCCCCCCCCAGACCTCCAGCTGCTCCAATGTTCGTTGAGGCGTGGGCCCCGGAGGTCCGGACCACTTCTCGGCGGCGCGCACTGGGGGGCAGGGGGAGGGGGGAAGGCTTCACAGAAGGAGGCTCGGGGATCTTCTGACCCGGGTCAATCCAGACCCGGGTCAGCAGGAAGCCAAAAACTGCAATGCAGGAACAAAAAAATTGCAACGCAGGTCTTCGCAAACCCGGGTCAACCAATAGACGTGGCCGCCTCGCGGCCACGAGCGGCTCGCTAGCCCGGGTCAGCCAGAGGGGGTCTTCGCAGCATCCTGCAGGATCTGGCGCCCTGGCTGACCCCCGTCTGCACTGACCCCCGTCTCGAGGCTCCCGGGAGGCTGCTTCTTAGAAGGCGCCGGCCTTACATCTACAGACGGGGCCCGCGCCTTGCCTTCCCCCCTCCCCCTGCCCCTCTCTGCGCGTGGCCGAACTTCTCTAGGGCTGTTTCTTTCGTCGTGAGCCGGTTTTTGAAGCTCCCGAAGCCCGGCGAGGGCCCCGAGAGGCCGAAAACTGCCACGAACCGCCTGCTCCATTTTTTGCTGGAGCGTCGGATCTCTAGAGGCCTCCTAGATGGGGTCGGAGTAGATGGGGTCGGGGGGCCGCGCCGCATCGCCGATGCATCGACGATGCATCGGCGATGCATCGGCGATGCACTGGCGATGCATCGCCGACGTCGGCGATGCGTCGACGTCGGCGATGCATCGGCGGCGTCGACGTGAAACACATCGGGCTCCACACCGAGCCGCATCGCCGATGCATCGGCGATGCGGCTCGATCCTCCGACCCCATCTGCTCCGACCCCGTCTATCGGGAGCGGCAAAGAGGGGGGTGGCCAAGACGGGGGGGTGCAAATCATGACCGGCGGCATGTGCGCGGCCCAGCGGGGGGGCCAGGGACGTAATGAAGTAAGAAGAGGCGCCATGAACTCTGCGGAAATATATCATGGCCCCCGCCATGATATCCCCCCCCCCTAGTCATCACCCCCCTCTTTGCCGCCCCCGAGTCTAGGAGGCCTAGAATCTCAGGGCCCTCCGCCCGCTGCTGCCCCTCCCCCCCCCATGCGGCACTACGGCGCGGGGCGGCACCACGACGCTCTCCCCCAGGCCGGTCGAGAGCACCACGAACTTGCCAGGGTAGTCCCGCAGCACCGCGTCGGGCCAGTTCTGGCGAGGGGCCGGCCAAGGGAGCGGGAGGCTGTGCTCTCGGCAGTGAGGCGGAGGAGAGAAAGAGGAATCCGCTGCCCCTCAAGGGGGCGATCCCGAACCCACACGTGATTGCGCCATACATAAAAGTCAAGACAGAAGGTTTTGGGCCATTTTAGGCCTCGGGGGGCCCTCGCCAGGCCTGGGGACGGTACAACACGAATCAGGATGAAAAACCGGTCCTGGGGATTGGGTCGAGAATTCCAGGAACCGCGCACTGACAAAAAATCGCTACATCGGATCTCTGGGAATCCGCTGCCCCTCAAGGGGGGGCGATCCCGAAGGCACAGCGCGAGCGAGACCGACCGCGAGGCCACGAAGGCAAAGTCTGGCAACAGCCCAAGACTCGGGGAACTCGCAGAGCACAGGAGAGCACATGGCGGCTGCTACGAATGTGCCCACATTTCGTCAAAACGTATCGGGACACAATTGTTGACATTGTGTCGCAGCGCCTACCGCATGGCCCAACCGCCCGGGAAGCGGGGGGCTGTGCCAGGGAAACGCGAAACTAGATGCCGAGGCGGAGCAAGGGTTCTCTTCTCTTTTCGGGCCCCAGCTGCATGGAGAAGGGGTGGCAGGAGGAAAGGGGAGGCCTCGGATCACCTCGGGCCACAGGTAATCGCACGCACCTCGAGTCGGCTCCCATGCTAGGCCGCGCCCTGGAGTCTTGCCGCTGCTATCGATATGTTACAGCCTGAGGAGGAAGAAGATGAAGAAGAAAAGACTGGCATGAAAGAATGGGGTGCTGAGGGAAGCGGGTTCTGGACCATGTTTTCAGATTTCCAAAGAATCTCCGTCCAATGGAACGTCGCTCTCGACGCATCGCTGGCCATGCCGTATTCCCGCACCCGCAACATGGGGCTCCGCTGAAGCGTTTGCCACGTCTCGAGATGTTCAGTTCGATTCCGTCCCAACGAACGAGGCTGTCGCAGAAGCTCTGGCCGCACTCTCGCAGGAACAGAAATGTGGCTCCCGTTGCAGCGTCGGCAACACGTGGAGAGTGTCGTCGAGCCTGGGCCCCACATAACGAAACTCTCGCCGCCGCATTGGCCGTACTAATGCACTGCTTCCGCAAACGTTATATTCCCGCCTTAGCGTTTGCCACGTTTCAAAACGAAGTGGCGCGTTCGGCATCCGTGCCTTCTTCGACATTCGACTCTGCGAATAGAGGTGAAACAACACGATGCTAAGGGATGGGGAGGGAGGTGTACGATTTCAGATTTGGCGCGGGCGCACCAATCTTGGCAACAACCCTCTCCCTCCTCCTCCTCCACCTCCTTCTCCTCATCCTCCCGACGCCTCCTTCTCCTCCTCCTCCCTCCACCCTTCTCCTGATCCCCCCTCCTCATCCTCCCCTCCCTTCTCCTCGTCGCCCCTCCTTGACCTCCTCCTCCGATGTCGCCTGCCTCCCCTGAACTGTCTAAAGCCATCCGGATTTCAAGAGCCCCCTGCAGCCATCCCCACGAGGAAGCGTAAGACTGGAGTGTGGACCACTCGAATTGGTCTGACTGGGCCGTCAAAAAATGGCCAGATCCAATCGGAAATTTGACGCGCACTCTCGCTGCAGACATCCCACGGAAACTGGACCGTCAAATTCTTGACGCGTCCATTAAACAACGTCGGCGAACCCGATCCAGGCAAACGCGAGTATTACGTTTCCCCAGTCCCCCTCCATCAATTTGTGCGTTGCCGCAGCTCCAGTGAGCGGGGCAAATGCAAGGAGGATGGGTGACGAGAGGAATGTTATGAGGCAACTCCTAGGAGGTCCTCGTAATAACGATTGAATACTATTGAGACGATGAAAGGACAATGCGGCTAGAAGCAGCCAGATTGAGCTCAAGATTGATGGGATTGAGCTGGATCGAACGGGACTGCGCCAAGTTGAACGGGACTAAACCAGATTCGGCTGGTTTCAAGCACGGATCTCTCAGCGCCGATGCTGAATTCCACATCCCAGGAGTTGCACCCAGATGGTGGCAACACGAAGGGGGTAGGGGGAGGGGGGAATGCTTCTTAGAAGGAGGCTTTTTTTCTCAGAAGTCGCTGGCCCTAATTCTACAGACAAGGCTCGCCCCTTCTAAGAAGCAGGAGTGCTTCTAAGAAGCCATCCCCCCTCCCCCTACCCCCCCCTGTGCATGGCGGACAAGAGTTGCATCCAGAAAGACGAGATCTTTATCCGGAGTTGTTTTCTAACAATTACGGGGCCCGTGGAGGGCCCCGAGAGCCCGAAAACCACGAAAAACCTCAGGACCCGTTTCCCTCAGGACTCGCTTCCCCCATGGCGAGGAGTTGCATCCAGAGGGGTGGGAAGGACAGTAGCCCTGGCCTCACCCTTGGCCTCCATGTCCTGGCCCCGGGACCCCGCCCCACCTGCCCTTGCTCCCCTGGCCGCCCCCCCCCAGGGATTGGTTTCGTGTCGTTCGTCGTCCCTGGAGCCTGCTTTTTCCCCACATGTTTCGTGGGGTTCTGGTTTTCTTCCCTGCCGCGCCGCACCCGCGTCTCCCCCCTCCCCCCTCCCCTTCTCCTTCTCGCACAGCACAGCACAGCACAGCACGGCACGGCACGGCACGGCACAGCACAGCTCACCGCACAGCAGCACAGCACAGCACAGCATACCACACAGGGCATTCCTTCGACGCCACACGGGGTGGGGGTGCGCAGAGGGTGGTCCCTCAGCGCGGCCTCTATCCGTGACACGCTCGCAGATCGTGGCAGGCGTGGCACTTTCTCGACACCACAGGGGGTGCGCAGAGGGTGGTCCCTCAGCGCTGCCTCTATCCGTGACACGCTCGCAGATCGTGGCAGGAGTGGCATTTTCTCGAAGCCGCAGGGGGTGCGCAGAGGGTGGTCCCTCAGCGCGGCCTCTATCCGTGACACGCTCGCAGATCGTGGCAGGAGTGGCACTGTCTCGACACCACAGGGGGTGCGCAGAGGGTGGTCCCTCAGCGCGGCCTCTATCCGTGACACGCTCGCAGATCGTGGCAGGAGTGGCACTTTCTCGACACCACAGGGGGTGTGCAGAGGGTGGTCCCTCAGCGCGGCCTCGCCTCTATCCGTGACACGCTCGCAGATCGTGGCAGGAGTGGCATTTTCTCGACACCACAGGGGGTGCGCAGAGGGTGGTCCCTCAGCGCGGCCTCTATCCGTGACACGCTCGCAGATCGTGGCAGGAGTGGCACTTTCTCGACACCACAGGGGGTGCGCAGAGGGTGGTCCCTCAGCGCGGCCTGTATCCGTGACACGCTCGCAGATCGTGGCAGGAGTGGCACTTTCTCGACGCCACAGGGGGTGCGCAGAGGGTGGTCCCTCAGCGCGGCCTCTATCCGTGACACGCTCGCAGATCGTGGCAGGAGTGGCACTTTCTCGACACCACAGGGGGTGCGCAGAGGGTGGTCCCTCAGCGCGGCCTCTATCCGTGACACGCTCGCAGATCGTGGCAGGAGTGGCACTTTCTCGACGCCACAGGGGGTGCGCAGAGGGTGGTCCCTCAGCGCGGCCTCTATCCGTGACACGCTCGCAGATCGTGGCAGGAGTGGCACTTTCTCGACACCGCAGGGGGTGCGCAGAGGGTGGTGGTCCCTCAGCGCGGCCTCTATCCGTGACACGCTCGCAGATCGTGGCAGGAGTGGCACTTGCTCGACACCACAGGGGGTGCGCAGAGGGTGGTCCCTCAGCGCGGCCTCTATCCGTGACACGCTCGCAGATCTTGGCAGGAGTGGCACTTTCTCGACACCACAGGGGGTGCGCAAAGGGTGGTCCTTCAGCGCGGCCTCTATCCGTGACACGACGCTCGCAGATCGTGGCAGGAGTGGCACTTGCTCGACACCACAGGAGGTGCGCAGAGGGTGGTCCCTCAGCGCGGCCGCTATGCACGACGGTCGTCCAGGGCATAGCAGGCGTGGCACTTTCTCGACACCATAGAGGCTGCGCAGGGGGTGGTCCCTCACCGCGGCTGCTATGCACGACGGTCGTCCAGGGCATAGCAGGCGCGGCATTCTCTCGACATCATAGAGGCTGCGCAGGGGGTGGTCCCTCACCGCGGCCGCTGGCTGGCTCGAATCTGTCCTCGACGGAGGATAGAAGGCTAGAAAGAGGGAGGAGGTTCAAGCAATATGGCGTTGGATGACACATAGGGGAACATTCGCGACGAGGGCTGAGAACGCAGAATTGCACATATATTATAAACTTAAGCAAACACTCAATATTTAAGTTAAGTATGTGGGGTTCCTCGGTAGCGTAATTTAGACCCCGCAAGCTGACCTGCATGGACGGGAGGGGGGGGCATGAGCCTGAAGCAAGCCGCAAACGACATGCACGTGCGGAAATCACGCAAGTCGAAAGGCACTTGCACGCTAGCATTCGTCTGAAGAGGGGCGAGGAGGGGGGGGGGGGGGGGGGGGGCGAACGCCATGCAAGTAAACCTGCCAGAGTCAACAAAACAAGAACAAAAAACACCAGCCCGTGCTTCCCTGGCCGCCCCCTCCAAGGACTCGTGTCGTGTCGCTCGTCGTCCTTGGCCCCCCTGCACTGGCCTCCCCAGTGGCCTCCCCCCTGCCCTGGCCCCGGGACCCCCGGGACCCCCGGAAGCCCGCAGGTGGACGCACGCTGGCGCGAGTGTTTTCCAGCCCTCCGCGCGCGCAGGCCAAACGAGCGGGACACGGGGCGACCAGCGCCACGCCGCTGCAGCCCACGGCTTCCCGCACGCACTCCCACCCCTCCTCCTCCTCCTCCTCCTCCTCCTCCTCCTCCTCCTCCTCCTGCTCCTCCTCCTCCTCCTC